GGGATCTCACCTGTTACAAAACGCCGCATCTTGTTTACCGTGGTTGGAATACGACTATTTGTTGGTTTCTTTATGAATGGTTCTGGTGCCCCAGGTTGATCCAAGTTCGTTTGTTTTCCAATACCATCAAGTACAAGTGATATCTCCGCCATGGAAATTATAAATCCCCAATCGGAACACAGCTTTGTGATCCGAGTATATGAATATTTTGCATCGGAAATAGTTATTAAATACCCTTCCCATAGTCGACCAATTTTCTGTGGTTTAATACATGGCGTTCCACCTCGAATTTATATCGGTTGTGGTTGTCACGTGAGTTGCTGTTTGCATGTTCAAAATAGTTTAAAATAACTGAGAGGTTAGAGGGAAGACAGCTTTTACTGTGGCACTTAATTTTTTGGCTAATAATGTTTATAATGCCATAACACTTTTTCTTGCTAATTTACTAAATTTCCCTTTTATTTTTGTCGCCAGGAAAAATGGTTCAGATATTCGAAATATTATGTATTAATAACAAAATAACTATATAGCTCGGAACAAATTTTCTTTACTTCTACTGTATTTATCAAACCACCCCCCGGTGGGTCAGCTGTAAGTCCGAGGGCTTATAAGGTAAAAATCAGGTTTTGATACTCGCGGTGAGAAGAGCACAGCCAAAACGCGCAACTTCCGATTTCAATGCAACATAGCATATGAAAAACACATGCCACATGTATTTTTGTTTTTAAACAAAAACATTGGGAAAGTTCCAAAAATGAAACTCACTTTCCCTGTGGAAGAGGAAAACTGTGATGTTGTTTTAGTGTAACTGAGAGGCAACTGTTTGTTGAAAAAAAAAAAAGAGTGAATAATGTTTATATATATATAACAAAACTACTGCAAAAAATTCATTACAAACGGTTTTATTCAAAACAATAGTTAGGCCGAGATTGTTTTCTTTTTGTTTTTGGACTCCGCGCTCCCTCTCGAGAAAAAAAGTACTCGAACAATATCGGAAAAGTAATTAATAGGTCATTGTTGTCATATTTTCAGTTTCTTCAGGTTATACGCTGTTATAGCTTTGTAATAAAATTATCTGAACCATGTATAAGATTGTGAATGTAACTCTTTCATAACATTTTGAGGCATATTCTGGCAGATTTTTTGGAACTCTAGTACATTGTCTGTATTTAACTACACCAGTCTACACGGTTTTCGCGAACAAGATTTACTCAGCTTTGAACAACAATAATTCTGCTCTCAGGCTGTCACTCGTGGTCAGGGTTAGTACAGGTGTGTTAGTGGCTACTTGACTTGCCTTCACCGGCCATCAGTTTGAGACACACACATCTTGCAAGTTTTATGTGAATAAACCAGTTCATGATTACAAGATCAAACGTCGTCCTATTCTTTTTTGGCATATTCAATCTATGTACACTTTTCCTATGAGCCTGTTGAAGTCTTTATTGTAATGTGTCCTAAGAATTTAAGAACTCAACGTGCTCACAGTCCCGCACCCTATCATATTACGTAATCAATCACGTGCACAATAATTCATACGGAATTTAGATTCAAAGAAACATTCGCCCAGTTAATACTATCGCTTTCTCTGAAGTGCAGTTGATTGTTTGAGTACTTGACAGCTCCAAGAATTTCAAGTTTCACCAGCCGGAAGGATTTATTTTCAGATTAAAGCCCTTCGCACTACAGGTGAAATCACCTCATTAAGTTGATAAAAGTTATGCAATAAATTTATTTGTATATAGCTGTGAATTGATTGCTGCGTTATCTCTTTCACTTATAACTTTGAAACTTGCACAAATTAATACTGCTACATATACTGACCTAATTTTACAAACTTACTTCTGAAAACTTTGATTACAGAACAACGAGATTTATATTTCATATGTAAAGATTTTTTGGCTGATAGAGGCTCTCTTTGTAAATTCTTAAGATTAGACACTATAGGTTTGTAAATTTATATATTTTTTTCTTATCAGTATTATTACTTCATGTTTAGTGTTTACTGCTTCTTCAGCGCTTATGTCATATATATATATATATGTAAATATATATATATATATATATATTTAAAAATCAGTGGTGATGACTGCAGGTTGCATTAAAACGTCTGTATCCGACGTTCCCATTTGTTTCAAATCCGGTCATAATTGTTTAAGTTTTATAAATTGTTTTTGTAAAAAAGGGTCTGAAAAACACCGAGACCAGTCAATTTTCAGTTATACAAGTGTCGAAAGGGGACGTTATAGTAAAATTGATAAATTCAACACCAGTGCGCACTTACCACAGAAAATATTTGTACAGAAATTAATATATTCGCCACTAGGGAGCGTATTTTTCATTAAAAACTGAGAAATTAGATTGGAAAAACTGAATTGTTGTTGTGTTTTTGCTCTTGTTTTGTTTTTTGAGGTAACGATCTATGGGCCTCTGATGTGACATTTACAGTTTCTTGTTGATGTTTTTATTTTTTTTTTACAGTATATTTTCAGACAACTTTGTTAAGTGAAAATCACTGTTTTGTACAGCACTACACCACCACGTATAATATGGGCCATTTCAAAACAGAGAGGGAGCAAAATGGTGGTATTTCGCTGGAGCTGTGTTAGACTAACACCTCTCCTTCATCTACTTTTGACAGACCGAATAGTTGGATTTGATCATTCTTCTTATAGTACCCCCCACGTCTCCAAAGTACGGAGCGCATTTTTTGCAGCAGCAGGATGCGCACCATGAATTTACGGGTTCACAGACCGAGCATATTAATTACTTGGACACGTATGACCCTATGTAGTTTTTATACAAAAGTTCCAGAAGAAAGGAAATAATAATAAAAAAAAACGTTAAATTCTTTTGGAGCACCAAACAGATCTACGTACTTCAACGTAAAAAACAACAACAACTAAAAAGACAGAGAGAAATATGTAAGAGTCAACAAATTATGCTTGAATGACTTACAGGATAAAAAACATGAAGAAAATAATGTCTTAATTATCATTAGGTGTTTTAATCTGACTATCACTTATATAGCCCCCCCAGTGGCACAGCGGTATTTCTTCGGACTTGTAACGCTAGAAACCGGGTCTCGATATCAGTAGTGGGCAGAGCACAGATAGCCCATTGTGTAGATTTGTACTTAATTACGAACAAATTACTTATATATATATATATATATACGACTGGGTGAGAGATAGTAAACAACAGAAAATTTTCTATTTTTACTTTCTGCAGGTTGTTGTTCACGTGACTAAATTACTTATACATCTCTTGGAGAGATTTTTTCGGTTTTTATTGGTGATTCAGTTGAAAATGACGGGTAATAGAAATTGCTCGAATTTAATATCTGTGTATAACATCAAGAAAACGGAGTTAGACTCTTAAATAATTCACATGAATTAACGTGTACGAAGAAACTTTCACTAACAGAATGACTCGTCCGATTTTCAAAAACTTTATTTTTATTCCTATTACAGTTAATCTCATCTTACAGGATAAAAAAGTTTGTTTCTATTTCTAGTAGAGTTAAAATAATTTTACTTTATATGGACTGTATTTACTTTTATATGGATATATTTGCTTACATTGGAAGCTTAAGTGGTTTCAGTTCCAAGAAGAGCCCAACAGAATGATGATTGAAGTTAAGTGACCGGGCTGTGTGAAGTAGTTGTACGGGATGTAACATCTATCATCATATTACTGCAGGCTCTTTAAAGATCTTTCGCATTGAGTTCCTCGTGTTTATCCAAGTCATTGAGAACTTTTGATCTTGCCGCTCGTGGAACATTCGGCTGTATGTGCTGTTCACTAACTGTCGTTCCTCTAGTCTATC